GCAAAATTAGGTGACCTTGTCGCTAATCTACTACAGTGCTTGAGTTTATAACTTCTAGGTACTGCTGAAGAAAGTTCGTCAGAATAATTAGGCATTCATAGAAAAGATGCAAGGAAACATGGCATTGTATTGCAGTGGGAAAGGAACTGAATATATATATATATATATATATATATATATATATATATATATATATATATATATATATATATATATATATTGTCATCCACACAGACGTCCGGTTGCCTCTAGCTAGGATCGACTGAATTGGCGTCAGTCGGGGATTCCACCACTAAGACGTTGGCGCACGGCAGGGATGAAGGTGAGTTTAAGCGTATTTATTTTTAGATAAACAAACAGTGACTCAGAGAACTCGATTCGATTTACCGAAGAGTCTTGCATTACTAGCAGTAATAGTCACTGTTTACAAACCCACACTTCCTCCCCATAGAGCTCAACCGAAATAAATCTTTCAGGAGCATATATATATATATATATATATATATATATATATATATATATATATGTGTGTGTGTGTGTGTGTGTGTGTGTAGCAGAAGCAGCAAACCAGATGTGGCAGCAAACCAGACGTAGCAGCAATATTCAAAGAATAGACAAATGGCAGACTTATAAATATGTAAGATCGATTCTGGTGAAAAAATTACTTACCACGATACAAGGAGCCAATAGCGGCAGATCTAGAAATTAATTCAATAGAATCTTTCCACTTCTATGACGACCTTTCTCTAATTTGTATTTAGATGCATTGTATTTATTTTCAATTTTTCTACTTGAAGTTCTATCTGCATTTGTAATTATAATTTGCATATGATTCATTATTGCACACAATTAGGTTACAATAAAATTTTTGTTTTATATCAAATACTACCTTCAGGAAATTGAGATCTAGTAAAGTTGGTGGGGTGGTATGATAGATTCGGGGTTGGACGGTCACGAGACCAGTTCACTGGTCAAGTCTCGTCAGCAAACCATTTCTCAGTAATAGTCACAGCACTAAAGCTGTACTCTGCTCAATTTCGTAGATCCTTGAAATTTCGAACTCATTCTATTTTGGCTTTACTTTGTGTATTTTTCCATGGTTCTTAACATTCAAGATGGCATCCTGTTATTTCCACATTTTCTTCTCTCTTTTCTTTTTTTTTTTTTTTTTCACCCTGGGACCCGCAGTCAATCCATCTCATTGCCATGTTTTTTTCGTTTCACTTCCATCGCAAAAATCTAATCGATTATTTAAGGTAATTCCGTTCTTCTGCAATTATTCTATTGTTTTTTTGTTTTTGTTTTTTTTTTTTTGTATGAGTCGATGGCGTGATAAATTGTATTAACATCATCATCATCATCATTGATAGTCGTAGTCGACCGTAGTCGAGCTCATCATGTCAATGCCAACGATCCTTTCTTTAGCTGTATAGTAGCGATTTTCTAAGCGTAGCTTAGATGCGGCACAAGTCCGAAAGTATGGGGCACCCAGTGAGGATCGAACTCACTAATCATTCGTAATTGTGCTAGCGAGACAAACTTGCTAACCATTACACCGCCTCGGGGTGCCCCTTTAGCTGTATAGTATGCGTGTCGCCTGGGCTACATACAGTTTTTGAAATCATACTTTTCCTTCTCCTGGACCGATTGCCACCCAAGGCTATAGAACCCAGTCTACCTTACTATTAACCCGTGTCTGGGTGGTGTTCATACCAGTTTCTTTCAGTTTCCTTCCCGTAGAAATTGCAAAATTTCCAGTGCAGATATTAGCCAACTCTCTCATGCCGGGTTTTATATTCAGTGGGTGCCAATATCTTGCAACCTGATACAAGATGATCAATTGTTTTTATTATTATTATTATTATTATTATTATTATTATTATTATTATTAAGAGCGTTTCCATTCATTGCTACTTGTGATGGTTTATTGATGAAAAACAACTTTTCCATTGTGTTCATAATAATTTAAAACTTTACATGATTTTATATGGATGCCTTCTCTGATAATAACCATTGCGATCCGTCGATATCTTGAAAGATAAAAGGTTAATATCTTCATCATGTCGGTTATGCTAATTGCTTAGCCAGAAACCTAGGAAAGTTTATGTTAACCTTCCAAGTAGAAAAGATTATTTGCCTTGAAAATAAGTATTGTAAACCTTCATTTTCACCTGTGCTGAAACGAATGCCGAAGGTGAATTCTCACCTTCAACAGCCAACAAACAGACCTAGATAGATACTACGGATGTCATTAAAACTGGGCGTTAGCTTATCTATAGAAAAAGGTCGCCATAGTTTCATGTCGTTATCATTAGACTCTTAATTCCAATTACCTTCATTACAAACTCACAGCTATTTTCCTCATAAATATCTGGAGTGGCCATCCTTATCATCTTATTCTGTGTAACTGCAAATCGATTTTCTGTTGTACGAGTGTGCAGGAGTAAAATTCATAATTACATGTCACAAGGCCGCTAGTGGCATTATGGCTTTGTAGGAACATAATTCATAATAGTATAAATTTATATCTTTCATTTCTTCGTTAATCTCATCAGACTCATGTTGAAACACCGTTTCCTGTAGGATTTGTAAAGCCACGATGTGCGGGTGGTGTAATGAATAATGGCTCAGTATTGTTCATCGGCTAGCCGAGTTCCAATTCTGGTCGGGTTCGTTATATTGACTTAATCACAAAAACTCTAGGGATTGGTATGAATCCACCAAGCAATGGGTTAATTAGTAAAAGTTGTATCACTAAAAACGATTATTATCTCCAAAGAAAAATAAAATTGCGTTCAAAATATTTAGATTTCAGCATTAAATAACACACAGAGGTTGATAGGCTGCTCAACAAAAACAACCAATCAATCAGTCTCACGTTATTTTGCATTGTGTAGACACGTATTTATATATATATATACTAATCCAAGGTTCCTTAGTATTTTTGTTATTATTTTTAAAAAAATAGTGCTCGATACAAAAGTAGAGCATAAATATAATTATTAATTTAAATTTGGAATCATATTTTTAAATTAATAATTATATATATATATATATATATATATATATATATATATATATATATATATATGAAAAAAAAATATATACGGAAAAAAAAACAAAAATCTTTATATGATATAAGGATTTTTGTTTGTTGTTTTTTCCGTATATATTTTTCTTCATACGGTCGGATTTATATCCATATATTTGCTTACATATATATATATATATATATATATATATATATATATATTATTAAGTAATTCATCGAGTCTAGAAGTAACCACAACAGAATGCAGAAAGCACTGGACGGCCGTTTCATCCTATACTTTGGACTCATTATCAGTGTACTTCTACTGCCGAGAATTGGAACCCGAACAGTTACGATAGGAGGCATCGGCCATACCAACTCTACCATCGACCCTTTGTGCTTTTCGCATTCTCTTGAGGTATCTTCTAGACTCGATGAATTACTTAATTATGATTATTTCAAATCCTCCTAATTATTTCTATCTGTATATCCTTGCTTTAAGCGGCTTCTGATGCTCTGGACTGACTTGCTTGGCGATAGCAGTCGTAGCTCGGAGAGGCACAGTCCTATGGGTAAAAGAGAAACTCGAAAAAGTTCCATCACGGAATTTGTGATCGAGCGGCGCTATATCGAGTCTAATTCGCTACCTCTTCGTCTCCGAAGCCCGTTGGTACAGTTGGTACAGTTGGTATGGCATTTGCCTCCTATAATTTATATATTCCTTTTATCAAAACAATTTTTCAGGAAAGTAGATTTCTCAAATCCGGTAATGTTATCGATGGGGTGTTTCTTTCCTAAGCTTCTAATTGAAGTAATGTGGAATATTATCATCTTTATGTTATTTTCTCTTGTTATTTTCTATTGTGCTATCCATTTTAATTGTTTCTGCTACTGAAATTCCTCAGGTAATGTGCATTTTGTTACTTAATTGTACATCTCAACTGTTATATTCCGTGCAAATAGGAATATGGAATGGACAAACACGGTGGGTATATAGCAACAGGTTTATTGTAGAAACCAGTACAACAAGCAAGCAAGTAATAGTTATGCGCACGGTCGTCGCAAGTCAGTACAGTTTCGTGCGTGCTGCTATCGGAAGGCCGCTAGTCTCGCAGATCCCCGGTCGACGCTATTTAGCAACTGCCCCTCGCAGTCACAAGTGGCACAAGACCGAGTTTAACGTGGGATATCCGAGATAGTAGACTCGGCCTAAAATTCTCCGTAGAACCCGCATAAACGGGTACAAGTCTGTCTACCTCCCCGGACGAGGTTATGTTTAAGGGCATAGCCTCGTCCGGGTTCCTCTCTGCCCGAAGACAGAGTTCGACTAGCGCAGCTGGGAAAGATCCAAGCTCGACTCTCCCGTCCGCTGTTCTAACGGATACTTATAGATGGTTACCACCTATAGTGCCGCCACTCATGGTGGTGGCAGGTTATTCCATCACATCTCAACGAAAAATAACACGTTTAGGTTTATCTCGCTTATCACTTCACAATGGTAAATGTTCCAATATTCAACTTATTTTTCTTGTGAATTAAAAGTCTTTACCTTTTGCTCGAATAATCTTGAAGCAATTACTTGTTGTTGTTACCTAAGTCGAAGTTGTGTCTGGAGTTGTCGCCGCCAGCGACGGATCACTTTCTCGAAATAACTCGTTCGCCCGACATTCTAATTGCACTCGACATCTACTATGAAATTAATGTATATGCAGGAACAGGAAACATTTATTCAGAACTTGGAATTATTTTGTAAGCAACAGGATGTGTGTTTGGGTGTCTGGTTGTCTACGTTCTGGTATCTATATTCGTATAAGCATGATTGGTTTGAGTTTTTAATCAAATACTACAACATATCCGTAATTTCATATCCATGCCTCATAAAGACATTTCAGTAAAAGAATTCGCATAATTGCGAACACTAGAAAGCAACAAACTAATTTAATGTTGCTCTGAAAGAATCGATCTTACATCAAAAGCTGTTGTCATGATAGATAAGGCGATAGATAGAAAGATAGATGAATAGAGAAATAGATAGAGAGATAGATAGAAAAGATATTGATAAATAGAGAGATAGATAAATAGAAAGATAGGCAGAGAAATAGATATATAGAGAGATAGATAAATAGATAGATAGACAGAGATAGAGAGTAAGATAAAAAGAGAGATAGACAAACAGATATATATATATATATATATATATATATATAAGGATAGATAGATAGATATAAAGAGTGATAGATAAATACATAGACAGAGAGTTAGATACAAAGAGAGATAGACAAACAGAGAGATAGAGAGAGATATATATAGAAATAGATAGATAGATAGAAAGATAGACAGAGAGATAGATAGAGATAGAGATAGACAGAGAGATAGATAGAGAGATAGATAAAAAGAGAGATAGACAGAGAGATAGATAGATAGAGAGATATATACAAATAGATCGGGAAATAGAGAGATAGCGATATATATAAATAGATAGATAGATAGACAGAGAGATAGAGAAATAGAGAGATAGATAAATAGAAAGATAGACGGAGAGATAGATAAATAGAGAGATAGGTAGAGAGAGAGATAGATAAATAAAGAGATAGATGAATAGAGAGATCGAGAGGCAGATAGATGAATAGAGAGACAGACAAAGAGACAGATATATATATATATGTGTGTGTGTCTGTCTGTGTGTAGACAGATAGACCGAGATGTGAGCAGAGACGTGAGAAGAAAGTAGCAGATTGAAACAGAGGTATGAGTAAACAGATACTGCTATGGGCAGACAAAGAGATATGCAGTGTTCTCCAAAAATGCCATTTCTCATGTTCTTTATGAAGACATTTCTCCAGCAATTTCCCTGAACTTTTGGACAGCACCTATCTACCGGGTGCAACAGCAAAATTGTCCAATTGTCAGATTAAGAATGAACCGTTGTATCTTAGAAATGATTAAAGATATTGCACTGAAATTCTCCGAGGTTTTGATGACACTAATGGACTGTACTTTTAACAATAAGAATATATTTAGCTGAGTTGAAATCCCTCTTCGTGTTGTAACCTTCTGATGCAATTTTACTCTTTATTGTTCTCTGGATGATTCTTGAATGGACTTTGAAAATGGAAGCCAGAGTATGAATGTTCATACCATTAATGAAGGCTGCAATGATTTATTTCGCTCACAATTGGTCAGTGGAGATGAGGGTGGGATCGACACAAAACGATTTTTACCTGTTTTCTTTGTAGCTTAATAACTCTATAGCTTTTTCAGTTATTCTTACGACAAATGATCTCAAGATGGCCAAACGTCTTATCTGAAGACCTGGAAAAAAGAAACTCAATTACTTTAGTGTTTGTCTTTGTTTTGTTTTTTAAATATTAAACATTTTCGGGGATGGACAATTACGCGATGCTGTTACACGATTTGGTCAATTTTGCTGTTACAGCTGGTATATAGAGAAAACTATAGCAATATTGTTTCTTATCTAAAAATTTGCTTACATCAAAAGCTGTTGTCATGATAGATAAAGCGATAGATAGAGAGATATATAAATAGAGAAATAGATCACGAGAGAGATAGACAAAGAGATAGATAAATAGAGAGATAGATAAGTAGAAAGATAGACTGAGTGATAGATAAATATAGAGAGAGATAGAGAGAGAGAGATAAATGATTAAAATAAATAGAGATAGATACAGAGATAGATAACTAGAGAGATAGACAAACAGAGATAGATAAATACAGAGATGGATAGACAGAGATATAGAAAAACAGATAAATAAATAGAGAGATAGATAGACAGAGAGATAGATATATAGATAGGTAGATAGAAACATAGATAAATAGCGAGATAGACAGACAGAGAGAATGATAAATACAGAGATAGATAGACAGAGAGAAGATAAATTAAATAGAGAGACAGATAGAGAAAACGATATATATATATATATATATATATATATATATATATATATATATATATATATATATATATTGAGAGAAATAAATAGATAGATAGATAGATAGACAGAGAAAAGATAAATACAGAGATAGATAGACAGAGAGAGATAGATAAATTAAATAGAGAGACAGATAAAGCGGATATATATATATATATATATATATATATATATATTGAGAGAGAGATAAATAGCGAGATAGATAGATAGACAGAGAGAAAGATAAATACAGAGATAGATAGACAGAGAGATAGATAAATTAAATAGAGAGACAGATAGAGAAAGCGATATATATATATATATATATATATATATATATATATATATTGAGAGAGATAAATAGCGAGATAGATAGATAGACAGAGAGAAAGATAAATACAGAGATAGATAACTAGAGAGATAGACAAACAGAAAGATAGATAAATAGAGAGATAGATAAATAGAGAAATCGATAGACAGAGGGATAGATGAATAGAGAGATATAAAAACAGAGGCATAGATAAATAGTGTGTTAGATAAATAGAGAGATAGATAGACAGAGGGATAGACAAATAGAGAGATAGAGAGAGAGATATGTGTAGACAGATTTCTCCCAATGCTTTTTATTGTTTTTTTTTTCTTGTTTTTTTTTTTTTTTTTTTTGTTTGTTTTTTTCTGCCAATGATTTTACAACAAACATAAACCAAGCGACAAATAACATTTATCTGTTATCTTCATGGATGTACGTGACGTGTCTCTCCCACGGAGAAAATCAATTGGCAATAGATGTGCATCGTATGGGACGACCTTGGGACAACTTGTATTATTTAGTGTAGTTGTTGGTGGTAATCCATTCAATGGTATGGATGTAACTCTCGTTAATTTTATGAAATCACTCGAACGTGAAAACCCCGATAACCACAGTGAAATAAGACAAAACAAACTATTATTATTGAGGATTTTTTTTCTTTTTTTTAACTTTTGTCTGTCTAATTGCTATTCACTTTCACCAAACTTCCTTCCGTCCAGATAATGAATTCTGTTGCATTGCATCCTGATGCTTAGAAAATAATTCCAACATCTGGATAAATGTTTCTTGTTCCTCCACTTTTCTCTTCAGCCGACATCTTTCTCTTCTTCCAGATCTTTCTTCTTCGTTCCTACTCGTCACTTCTTCATCTTTCTTTTTTAATTCCTGAAAACCTTTCTTTCTCTCAGTGTTTATCACCCTCTCTCTTTACAGCATCTCTTCCTACTTTTTAGCTTATGACATCAGTAGCAGTCGTTTCATTTTACCATCTTTTTCGTTTTCTCCCTTATTATTTACTCTTTTCTTCCACGCCTACTTCTTCTTTGTTCGTCCATTTTTTTTTCTTCTTCCTTCTAATTGTTTTCTTCAGCATCATGTTGTTCTTCTATCTCAATATCATTACCCGGTTTCTTTTTCAGTGTCAAAATTGAATTGGGATATGATGGCATCATTACTCGAAAATTAATACTGTGGGATTATTTTTTATGAAACTTGAATGAGAACAGCACATACCCAACAAGAAAAAACTGCTATTGCGATATTCCTTGAGCTTATATAATCATCTACCATACTATTCTTATAAATATTAATTGCAATATCAGTTGGTTAAAACAAACAAATCATTCTATGGATATATTATTGGCTACAGTTAAAATAAAGCAGATGGATTCTCGTCTTTCCTAACGAAACTATTCCTACTACAATGTAAGATTTAGACATAATAGTAACACCAGCAAAATAACTGTAGATAGCTGAATGCGCTCGGTTAGGTTGTACAGTTTGACACGTCGGACATCAGAACTTTAAACATTTAAATTTAAATTTAAACGTCTATTTTCAGCTTTCTGTCGGTATAGAATTTTAATCAACGTGTGTATTTCGATCCCCCACCCCACTTATGATTTAATCAATAAAAATATTATTATTATTTATTCTGAAGAAGGCCTTTCAAATTACTCATATATATATATATATATATATATATATATATATATATATATATATATATATATATAAGAAGAAATATACTTTAAGGTGTGCTATATTTATGGGATAAAGTGCTCAATATCAGAGATAGAGCCTGTGTGGCCTGACGATTGCATCTAGCATGAAACAGCCTGTCGCCTCCAAGCGTTGACTTCAATGTTCGCTTTTATATATATATATATATATATATATATATATATATATATATATATATATATATATATATATATCATTTTGTGTATAATTGTGCATTTGATGTTCCACCAAGATTTAATATTCATGTTTTTTGTTTAAACTAAGAATTAATTTTGTCGTTCTATGCTTGAAAATTCAGTTTTGTTATTGTTCCTATAGAGCAACGTTTATCAACTTAGCCAGCATAAATCATCTTCAATTTTTACAATACATTCTTTCAGCTAAGCGTTTAAAAATCCTATTGTCCTTATCATGACATGATGTTGCATTTTTTGGTTATGCAGTTTGATCGAACACGTTGTGGTGTAGGAACTGCAATGAAATATGAAAATATTTGCAAATTATTTGTAAAGAACATGTGTTTAATTAAAATAATTCATATCATGAATGTAGCAAAAATATTTTTTAAACAAACAACAAAGATACAATATAATAAACTTCCAAATTGTACAAAAGTATTTCGATTCACAGGTATACTTTCCTTCAGGTTCAATAAAGTATGCTCTAAATCCTTAAACAAATATAGGTCGTTTGCCACGCCCCTCATATGTGTCCCCCAGATGATATACTTTTCATGCAATAACACAGCAAAATTTATCCCTTAGTATTAAAGAAGCCAGGTATAGAGTTGACATGATGGGAACTCTCACCCGCCAAATACATAATCCCGTAATCTGATATCGGCACGCTGATTTTAAAAGTATGATGAAGAGTTTCATTACAGAAAGAAATATAAAAACAACCATTTCAAAGGTTGGGGTGGTCTTTCACATATCACAGACGAGAATGTAATGTCCACGCACATATAGGCACACATATGCACAGGGTGAACGAGGATAGAGTAATTGATGAGTTGAACAAAATGTAAATTTAAATATGAAAGTTACATTTCTTTTGTTATTCCTTAGTCCACAGACACACACACATACATATATATATATATATATATATATATACACACACATATATATATATGTGTGTGTGTGTGTGTGTGTGTGTGTGTGCAGGGTGTGATGGATAAATTGTCGTCTAAATGAGGCAAAAATGAAAATAAAACTGACATCTCATTTTAACAGATATTTAGCAAAATGGCACAAAAATATCTTGAAATACTAAAGAGTAAATTATTTCAATAAAATCGGCATTAGCTTCAACCACCGCCTCCAGATGAGTTTGGAATCTCCTGCAACGCTTCTGGATGGTGCTCTAGTTTAAGTTAGTGACCCTTGCCGTCAGTTCATCTTTGGTACTATAAAGAGTTTTGTTGGTCTCTCTCTGAACTGCGCCCTAAACATGTTACTCAAGGGGGTTGCAGTCTGACAGTTTGGTGGCCAGATATAATGGGCGAAGTGGTCGCAGAAATTGTCTGACAGCCATGACTGGCTTCTCCTGCTTGTGTGGTATGGTGCAGAGTCCTGTTGCCAGATATAAAGTCTTCCACCAGCCACCCTTTTGACCCAGAGCAGCACTACTTCGTCAATTCTCACCAACAACTTCGGCAGTACTTCTCTTACAGTACAGCATGCCGTTTCAAAATTTTTGGTGGAGCGAATTGGGTCATGTTGTTTTTGTTTTTTTGTTTTTTTTTTCTCTCTCATCGCCGGTAATCAACTGACCCTACTATGCAGTGCAGTTGACAAAATCAAAAACAAACAACGCGTATCCGCGAAATTAAAAAATGAAGATGGCGACAATTTACCCATCTCATCCTATATATATATATATATATATATATATATAACATTTGATCACTATAGATTTTTGGGAAATGGATTAGACCTAGATCTTTTCAATGCCCTTTTTACACACACACACTCACACGCACACACAAACACATATTCTGTATTTAGGTAGCAATCCTTCATTTATGCATGTTTCATTAAAGACGACAGACACATTACTACGATTAAGCTTTTTAATTTTTCTTGTGTTCGAAGAAGTGTTTTCTTTTTAGGACACAGAGAGTGTAGAAACAGTCTTTAAAACTAAAAACACTTGTTCAAACACAAAAAATAAAAACCTTACTCGTAGTAACTTGTCCGCTTGTTTTTAATGAAAATATATATATATATATATATATATATATATATATGTTTCATATTATATATATATATATATATATATATATATATATATATATATACGATATTTTCCGTGATTGGTTCATCAGATGCCTTCACGAGGCCTGAAACCGACATGCCTCAGGAGGCCAATTTGGAAATGGAACAGCCTTTGGCATTAATCGATGGTAAGGCGAGTGATGGACTTGGCTGGTGTTGCCGGGCATTGAATTGCCTTCTTTTGACTTCCTCTTCAGTCTTTCTCCACTCCACGAAAGCGAAAAGTGAATAAACGAAATGAATTGCTCTTCGCCAGGATGGACTGTCGACAGTTGCCAGGTGTTAGGGGCCGATTCCGGCTTGAAGTAGAAAAGATTTCAGCAAGCCCTTGAATCTGCGTTTAGGGGCTCCGCGATGTCGTTTGCCTTTGACAATCTCATTGTAGGTGATGGTCCGCGTGAATCTTGAAAGGGACATTCTGTTGACATGTCCTGACCAACTGAGGCAATACTTGAAGATGGCGGCTTCAATACTCGGCATTTCCGAGCCACTGACAACTTCGCTGTTAGGGTGCGGGCTGATATATATATATATATATATATATATATATATATATATATATATAT